AAAAAAAAAAAAAAAAAAAAAAAAAAAAAAAAAAAAAAAAAAAAAAAACCCTTTTCAGAACATATAACCCCCCAGTATTTAATCTCAAAGTCTCCCCAAGGTTGAATATATGCTATTCTAATTTCATTGGTTTCTCATACAGCTGATCAAACCCTAACTTTAATTCTAGATTATATGCCATTGGTAGCAACACAAGCCATAAACTCAACACTAAAAAGGCTAAGATAGCAGTATCAAGTGAGTTTGAGGCCAGCCTGAGCTAACACAGGGAGCTCCTGCCTCAAAGATGGGTGGGTGAAGGGGATTCTCATCTTTCTCTGACTGTGGATATACGAATGTGATCAACTACCAGGCTTTTGCTGTTAGGACATGATGGACTATTCTCTGAAACTGTGAGCCAAAATAAACCCCGCCTCCCTAAATAAGTAAAAATAAAACTTAGACTATTAATAAATTCGCTACACAGAGAAGTTCCAAATAGTCTACACATATGTTCAAATTCCATCTCCACCATTTACTAATTGAAGTTATTTCTTAGTACTTCAGTTTTTTTCCAAAAAATGGACATAATGCCTACCACAAAGAATTCTTGAGAATGTTATTATACTCAAAGTTTAGAGCAAGTATTAAGTTGCTATCAATTATATTGCCTGCTAGTAGTATTACGCCTCTAAAATGGCCGTATTTAGACACTATTATGGTCAAGGAAAGATCAAGTAAATGTTTCAGAGCTGGACAAGTCACTATAGGTATGAAATCATAGCACTTAGATACTTGAGGCAAAAGAACTGCTGTTTGATGCCAGATGGGCTGTGCAGCAAGATCTGTCTCTGTTATAACTTTAAAGTCAACAAATTATACTTAATAGTGTTTACTTTTAAGATTTTTTTTAAATTAACACCCTAACTTTAAATTTCACCAGAAAGCAGTCAAGTCTATTAGAATATGAATGCAACAAAACTTGATGCTGAAAATTTCAGGACCTATCTGTAAAAAACTTTAATCTAGGAAGTCAGATGACCACTAGTACACCAAACATAATTTTCAAACCTTCCAGTTAACTATGTTGGAAAGAAACCAATACCTATACTGTTTGTTTTTTCCTTTCTTCCAACAACTTGTTTTCTATTGCTCACTATAAACCTATTATGTGATGTTAAGAAAAAAATAAGAAACAGGCATGGGTGTAGTGGTGCTTGCCTTTAATCCCAGCACCTGGGAGGCAGAGGCAAGTGGGTCTCTGAGTTCCAGGCCGGCAAGGACTACATAAGAGACCAGGTCACAAAACGAAGAACAAAAAGAAAAACAAACACTCTTATAATCATTCTAAAGTGATAAACTATGTTTTCCTACTAAAAATTTGAAATTCCAAGACTAACTTCTTCCAACTTAGGATAAAATCCAAGATGGTAAAATAGTTGTAGAAAGCTCTCCATCTCTATCACCACTAGTAGGGAGGCTTAGGCAGGAGCATTTCAAGCTCAAGGCCTGAACAAGTTAAGGAGAGCCTATCTCTATTTTTTTTTTTTTTTAAGTTTTGATTTAGCCCTATCAAATACTATTTGAACAACTACAGTCTGGTGTACAGTTACATGTTAAGAATTATTTTCAGTAAACATGAAAAGTCTATCATGCCTTCTTAAATACAGCCTCCCTTACAGATGAACATAAAACTGTATCCCTAAGCAAAATGGAAAATAGAAGCATTTCCCCCAAGGAATATATCAGACTCCACGGTGAAAGGAGCAGGGTTTATATTCCCTAATTCCCCATGCCACTTTCAGTATTTTCAAGTGCAGGCAGAGCAACTTCTGGATTTGGCTTATGCAATTTAAGAAACACATGCCACCTTGCCATGCTTCAACCAAATCCTAAGGCTAAAACCAACTAAAACGATGGGGTTTTTTTTCCTTTTTTTTTTTTTTGCTGTTCTGTTTTTAAGGTGGTTTGTTCTTATCCTTGGTCATTTAAATTCTAAAGGAGATGTCAAGAAAGCTTGATATAGGTTGAAAATGTTAAAAAAAAACCTACTTTCATAAGCAGATCCTATAATGAAAGAACTTCCAACCTATTCCAATGACTATTGGGTGTGACTTTCCTTAGATTAACACAACCACGCACTTTCACTACACCAAGAAAATTCACTATCTTGCCCTACATCCTTAAGTATATTACCTCATTTAAGAATATTTCTAGAAACATTCCTCAAATTAGGTAGGCAAAGGTCAATTTCTTCCTCCTCTGCGTTTCTCATGCTATTTCCTTGGCTTTGTCATCTAAAAAGAAAGGAATTTTCTTTGTATTTTTATAATCTCAGTTGTGCAAATAGAGCTGGTTACCCAGGTGCGCGCTGTTTCAAGCCTAAATCTTCCCAGGTCCAAATGGAAAAAAAGACAAGGGAGGGGGAGAACGCAGGTTTGGGAAATAAGCCATTAAAAAAAAAAAAAAAAAAAAAAAAAAAAAAA